TTTTATTTTAAAAAACTGTATTTATATTTATTTTTTATTTTAAATTACATAATAAAAAATAATTTTTTTCATTTTATTTACATATTATATGACTAAAATTTAAAATTTTTTTATTTTAAATAAAAAAATTATCACTAAATTGTTTAAATTATTAGAATTAGTATTTAAACAACCAAAGAAGTTTGTAGGCACAAAAAATTTTCAATGGTTGAATCATGTAATAAACTAAGGTTTAACTAAGTTCACATGTCATTGTCCAAACTAGATCAAAATCCATAAGTAAGACTTGTGGTAACATTTATGGTGACTTATCTTATTAAAATAAAACAAATTAAGACACATAATTAAATAAAATAATAACACATGTCTTATTTAAATTAAAAATATAATTAAAACTCATAATAAAATCATATAAATCGATTAAAATATGTTAAAGGGAATATTTTTTTCAAAGATACATTCTTCATTTACCTATAAATAAAGGCATTTGCCATTCAGAAAGGGAATCCATTTTTTAGAAAGAAGCACAAAAACCCTATTATAATTGTCTCAAATTTTGTAAAAGACTTCAATCTTCGCATTCTTCCCAACTATTTTTCTCATTAAGATGAAGTTTCATTTAAACCCTCATTGAGATCTATGTTAATTAAGATATCAAATCAAGGGATTAATTTAAATTCTTTGTTTACACAGAGTTTGTACCTACAAAACTCATATCAATATAAATTTATTTTTTTTTATAATTTTTCTTGTATGAGATAATTTTTTGTATAATTTTTTATAATTAGTATCTCGGAGTCTTTACTTGGTTGTCTAAATAAACATCTTGTATACTCATAAGAAATAATATAGGGATAATTTTTTTTATAATTTTTTATATATTATTAAAAAGTAAATATTATTAATACTATAAACTTTAAATAAATAAAAAATTAATTATTTAAATAATAAATATAATTATATTAAAAATAATATAAAAACTTATTCTTAAATTATTTTTCTTACAGGTGTTTTTAGATTCAAGTGCTATAAAGTATTATAAATTTAGATTAGTTTAAAAATGTTGAATTCGTGAATCAAGTTTTTAGGCTTAGTAGTTCGTCCCTACACTTTAATATTTGGATTGAGTTAATTGAGAATTCAACTGTTGACCACCACTTGAAAAAATTCTACTCCGTAATTCTCCAATGTTCAAAAAAAAAAAAATGTTGAATTCGTGTTCATGGCTTCACATCACGACAAAATTCGAGCCTCTTTCTACAAATAATTCAGATTCAGCCATGTTTTGGAATTTGTACGATGTACGTTAAATCGTTCTTGCTTTTTTTTTTTTGTGAAAGTAGGCAATGAAATTAAGTCGTTCTTACTCAATCAATAATTGATGATGAAAAGTTCAAATTCATAAACCAATAACTCCACCACAAATTCAAAAAACGTTGTTTGGCGATGGTGTAATAGATGTTTTTTACATGACATTAAAATTCAAATCTCA